TTGATACCTCCTATTTTGTTTTTATTGCCTAGGATTGATTTTGCTATACAGGGTCTTCTCTGGTTCCATACAAAGCGTAAAATTATTTTTTCTATATCTGTTAAAAATGATGATGGCATTTTGGTAGGGATTGCATTGACTCTGTAGGTAGACATTTTAACAATGTTGATTCTGCTGACCCATGAGCATGGTATATTCTTCCATCTGTTTACATCCTCTGCTATTTCCTTCTTCAGTGTTTCATAGTTCTCCCTGCAGAGGTCTTTTACCTCCTTAGTTAAATATATTCCAAGGTACTTTGTTTTCTTTGTTGCTATTTGAAGGGAATTGAGTCTTTGATTTGGTTCTCACTTTTACTGTTTTTGGCATATATGAATGCCTCTGATTTCTGTATATTGATTTTGTATCCTGAGACTTTACCAAATTCATTTATCAGATCAAGGAGTCTCTTGGTTGAAAATCCTTGGGGTTTTCTAGGTATAATATCATGTCATCAGCAAAGAGTGAGAGTTTGATCTCTTCTGCTCCCATTTGGATGCCCTCAACTCCACTCTCTTGTCTGATTGCTGTAGCGAGAACATCCAGAACTATGTTGAACAGAAGTGGAGATAGTGGGAAAACTTGTCTTGTTCCAGTTCTAAGTGGGAATGCTTTCAATTTTTCCCCATTCAGTATGATATTGGCTGTGGGTTTGTCATATATGGCTTGTATCATTTTTAGGTAATCTCCATCTATGCCTATTTTGTTGAGTGTTCTTATCATTAAAGGGGGTTGAATTTTGTCAAATGCTTTCTCTGTGTCTATTGAGAAGATCATATGGTCTTTGGTTTTGCTTCTGTTTATATGGTGAATTACACATTTATAGATTTGCATATGTTGAACCATCCCTGCATCCTTGGAATGAAGCCCACTTGGTTGTGATGAATTATTTTCTTGACAAGCACTTGGATTCAATTGGCTAGGATTTTGTTGAGAATTTTTGCATCTATATTCATAAGGGATATTTGTCTGTAGTTTTCTTTTTTTGTTGCATCCTTTCCTGGTTTTGGTATCAGGGTCATGTTCGCTTCATAAAATGTGTTGGGGAGACTTCCATCCTTCTCGGTGTTGTGGAATAATTTCTGCAAGATAGGCACCAGTTCTTCTTTGTAGGCGTGGTAAAATTCGGGTGTGAAATCATCTGGACCGGGACTTTTCTTTTTAGGGAGATTATTAATTGCTGTTTCTATTTTGGCTCTTGAGATTGGTCTGTTCTATTTCTTCCTGAAATCTATTTCTTCCTGGTTGAGCCTAGGGAGGCTGTGTGTTTCTAAGAAATTGTCCATTTCTTCCACATTTTCCAGTTTGTGTGCATAGAGTTTTTTGTAGTATTCATAAATTATATCTTGTATCTCTGTGGCATCAGTTGTAATTTCTCCTTTATTGTTCCTGATGGAGCTTATTAGAGATTTTTCTTTTCTGCTTTTCATTAGTCTAGCCAATGATGTGTCAATTTTGTTTATTTTTTCAAAGAACCAACTTTTTGTTTTATTAATCTTCCGTATAGTTTCCCTGTTGTCCATTTCGTTTAGTTCTGATTTGATCTTAATGATTTCACTTCTTCTGCTGGGTTTGGGGTTGGTCTGTTCTTTTTCCAGCTCTTTGAGATGATTCACTAGGTTGTCTATTTGTGATCTTTTTGACTTTTGGATATAGGCATTTATGGAAATAAACTTTACTCTCAGGACTGCTTTAGCTGTGTCCCACAAGTTTTGGTAACTTGTGTCACCTTTGTCGTTTAGTTCAAAGAATCTTTTGATTTCCATCTTGATTTCCTCGTTTATGAAGTGATCATTCAGCAGAAGGTTGTTTAGTTTCCATGACTTTGTGTGGAAATGAGGACTCCTGTTAGGATCGATTTCTACATTTATTCCATTGTGGTCTGAAAAGATACATGGTATAATTTCTATTTTTTAAAATTGTTTGAGACATTCTTTGTGTCTTAGGATATGGTCAATCTTAGAGAATGACCCATGTGCTGATGAGAAGAACATATATTCAGTGGTTTGGGGGTAGAATGTCCTGTAAATGTCAGTCAGGCCCATTTGTTCTAAGGTTCTGTTTAAGTCCATTATTTCTTTGTTGATTTTCTGTTTGGAGGATCTATCCTGTGCTGTCAGTGGGGTGATAAAGTCTCCAACTATTATGGTGTTGTTGTTTATCCATTAAACAAGGACAGTCTTAAATTGTTATAAATTTTATCACATCATAAAACTGTCGAGTATATGCAAAGAACTATCACAAAAGCAGTGTGCAATAAACAAGAAATGTTGTACATCTTCCATGATAATGGGTCGATCAAACTAAAAATTCAGCTCTTGAATAGATGGAATGTTCCTAACAGACAGGAAACATTGTCCTAACATAAAATGTTATGGCAGAGTATTGTTGGTTCTATAAAACTATTAAGATGATAGCAGTATCCGGGACAATAGAAATGGCTTCTGGTAAGAGAACACAAGTCTCCTCTCTCTAAATATTATCACAGTTTACAAAGGGAAAGAGAAACTGAAGTGAAGGAGAACATGTTGCCCTTACAAACGCAACTACGTGGTCTGCAAGGTCCTAGGAAACAGAGCAGAGCGTGGCTGCTGATTGTTCGTGGCTCAGGCTGAGCACTGTTGGGTACAAGGAAACGTGGCAGGGAGAGCACAGCCCTGGGATAAAGGCGGGCTGGACTCGAGTCCCTCCCCACAGAGTCCCCGTGTATGAGCCTGGGCCACTCACTGAGCCTTTCCCAGCCTATGTTTTCATGTCTAAAAGCTGAAGAAGATAATCATCCTGGCCTTGGAGGGCAGGTAGGAAAATTATGGGAGACATATGTGATGTTTCTAGTACGGCCAGAGAACCCCTCCGACACACTGGAGCTTCCTATATATACTCCCCTTGGCTAAATATAGAGAACGATAGCTAGTCTCCATTTCTGTTGAAATAATGACCTGTCCTCTCTCCGTGGCTCTTTCATGCACTTCGCATGGACCTCATGCAAGGCCCAGACGGTCTCTCTCCCTCTGTCCTCTTGATGACATCAGCACCTCTCTAGCTACACCTGTAGGCGATTTCTCTCACCCAAAGCATATTTTATTATCTTTGTCTCTGATTCTTTTGCTGGCTGGGCTTCTCATTCATCGCTCCATTCACTGATCCTTCTGTCCCATTTTTTACTAGATACCAACCGGAGGAGAGTTGGTCTTTTACTCACTACAAAGGAAAGGTTGGTTTCCATAGCAAAAGAAAAACCATATAGTTGTGGAATCTTCTATGTAATTCAAAAGAAAAGAAACAAACAAACAAAAAGAAAGAATACAGGTGGCAATGCCACATGTTGGGTAAAAAGGCTGAGCTTTGAAATGAAGAGATCTGGTTTCAAAAGTGGACGTCACTGACCCTGATGTGTTAACTGGGGCAGGCAGGAGACTTGCGGCCACCAAGACCCTCTGCACAACAGGCAGACGGCCCTGTCTCACACTGCAGCTGTTAGGGTTAAACAAGATTAGGTCATCAAGACCTTAGCCCAGTACCTGGCCCATAACATGCGCCTGATACATCACACCTGTCATTATTGCCACTCAGATTACAGGTAACATTTACAAATACAACCCCTTCATTTTGCTCCTCTCATGTGTCACACACTTACCCAGAGGCAGGGTGAGGGCAACAGAAAACAGTTTTCTTTTTCTCTAGTAAGAAAAGCTTCTGGATAAGATTTTGTTTGTTAAAATATTCGTTGTCTCTCACAGTATTTCACAAATGGTACAAATGGAGCCGGACAGGCAGACAGAGCCAAGACCGCCCAGTCCCCACCACCTGCGGCCTGCAGCTCCGCCCGCACTCAGCGTTTGCCAGGCTGGCACTGCACCTGTGTGGCCGCTGACAGCAAAGTGCCCCCTTCTGTCGCCAACCTGTGCGCCAAATCTGTGTGCTGCTTTGTTCGTTTTTCCTGGCACTCTGGAGACAAAGTCTTTGTCACCACCACGTGTCAGGGCTCCTGCCTCCCCTCACTGTCTCCCTGGTTCCAATCGTCCCTGCCCAGCAATCTAGCAACAGCCAGGACAATCTGCTAAAGGACTCACCTGATTTGGTCACTCTCCAGTGTGCACAGTATTCAACCCCTTCCTACAGCCTTCGGGGACCCTGTGTGACCAGACCCTCGACAGCCCCGGGCTGTACCCGACCTCACGCTGCCTGCGTCAGTCTCCCGTCGCACTGGCCGGCCTGGGCCCCTCCCTGCAGAGGGCCGAGCTGTGCCCACCTTAGGCCTGTTGTTCCTCAGCCTGGAAGGTTCAGTCCATCATCTAGACATGGTGGCTGCTTCTCAGCCCTTGGGTTGGGTTATAGATGTCACCTCACAGGGCCTCTCGGACAACTGCTCTTCAGCGTCATCCGTCTTCCTCTCCACATGGCCCCTGTGCTGTCTTCTTATCAGGGCGCTGGTCACACTCTGCAATTCCCCCACCCTTATTGGTATCATCTGTGTGTCACCCCAAACAAGAGTGACCCTGTCTGTCACATTCTACACTATATTCTCCACAGGGTCACAGAAAAGAACCAGACTTCTGTGAATATCTGTTAAATAAATGATCAAAGTATTTGTAGACACAGAAGAAAAAATTACTTACATTTTCTTACTGAAAGAGTTGGTGGAAATGCAATTTGATACTGAAAATGTGTTTCATGCTAATCATGGGAGCGTGGAGCATATACGTACTTTGTGTTAGAAATAAGCAGCACATCAGTGAACAAGAAGAGGTGGCGCTTGTGCATCCTCCACCCTCTTTTCAGTTTCACGGGGCCCTCAGTGAGCAGCGTGTGGTCGGCGGCCTGCAGTGACATCATCTTCTCATTGCAGGCATCCATCTCAGGCAAACAGCTTCTCCTACAACACCCTGAAAACGACAGCATTAGTCAGTGGTCACATATGTGACAGCGCTGTATGCCAAATTGAAAGGGTGACAAAATCTAAAAATTATACTTGATCTACCGCCACTGGCGGTAACCACATGCAAGAAGTACAGGCAGCCCATAGGAGCCAACACTATCCCCCAGGTGACAGCGACCAAAGAAAGGGGGACCTCAATGCTACAAGCTCAAGTATCTGAATGCAGCCAAACATGTGAGCTCAGAAGCAGACTCTTCCCCAGAGCCCGAATAAGGAGTGCGGCTCTGCACACCTCCACCAGCATTCTGGGGTCCCCACACAGAGGACCCAGTCAAGCCCGCCTGAGTGTCTGGACTACAGAACTGTCCCATATACTCCTATTGTTTTAAAGAACGAAGTTTGCAGTGATGTGTTATACTTGCATAAAAACCAAATTTGTTTTTGACAGCTTTGTCAAAGATTAGATGGCCATATTAGGGAAAATGACACAAAGACTCAGCGTCAAAATGGGCCACTTTCCATGGAAAGGAAAAGATGACACAGAAAGCAGTGACAAAAGTCCAGAGGGCATAACTAAGGCCCAGAAGGTGGAGCCAAGAGTTAAGAGAACTATGTTGCAAGTAACCTTAGAGATACTCTCTTATAGTCGATATCACAATACATAACATGTCTTGTATACACATTATATCTCAAAAGACTATTTAAAAATTTAAAAATTAGAGTAGCCATTTCTCTAATCTGGAAAAATGTCAATGACAGTAATAAAATAGGACAGTCACTTGGAAAAATAGTATCTATTTCTAAGATTATAATGAAACTTAAAATGATGTAAGGTAGCAAAAGCATTCTCAAACTTTAAGTTCTCCATAAATATTTGCTGTTAGTTCATTCTGATAAGAGTGACCGTGACACCCTTAGAGAAAAGTTAACACTGAATTTTTAGAAAATTAATCACATTTGCCTGACATTTTAAATCAACCTACACACTTCTTTAAGAGGTGTGTTTGTTTCCATTGAATCACTTCATATTTACTCTACCTAAGCTACAATGCTACACTCTGCAAGGAAGAAGGAAGACTCAGATAAAATCTAATAGTTTTTACTCACCAAGCATTTAAAAACCAGTAAAAGAAAAAAAAAGGAAACACAAGACAATGTATAGCCCAACATATATAAAACAAAATGCCATGAAGATTTGCAAAGAAATAATTACAATTTGGTTTCAGATTAGCAAGAAAATTTAGATAACTGATAAGTGTGGGCCATTGACTGTTACTTTATGTAAATCAACAATAAATTTTGGTAAAAATTTGCTATGGAAATCTAAATAATATAGGAAACATCAAAATGTTTCTGACCATAAACAAGGGCTTAGGTATCATTTGGTTGGGCTATAACCAAGCCCTAGCAAGACTCTGTGGTCATGGTAGGTGATGGTCATGGTAGGTGAGACCAACTCATTTCAACAGAACACAGAAACACTCAAAAATACACAGATATTTTCACACATGTGCAGAAAACTGTTTCCCACAGAGCCAAGAAAGTTTCCCCTGAGAACAGGAAGCCTGCTCTCTTCAGCTCAGCACCACCAATTCCTATGCATGTAAGGAGCTGTCCATGAAGCCAGTGCTGAAGTTAAGAAGTAGTTCACATGTTTTAGGGGAAACAAGGTGGAACAATCCTTGGGATCACTAGTCTTTTTCAATGATCAAAAAGAGTATATTAAAAGACTACCTGGTGCTGTGAGAGCTTGATTACCCCCTAAATACTTAGAGCACTTTTGGATTGATGAGAACAAACCTTTCCCTCCAGCGCTCAGCACCTGCTAGAGAGCAGTCTTGAAGGAAAAATGTTAAAGCCCGAGGACTCGTCCGTCGTCAGGACCACTGACCATTGTGACGTCACGGTTCTAAGGCTCACGCCGTAACTGACAAACTGACATACTAGCTTCCTTGATTTTGCCACCTTCTTGTATCCTTTTGAGATTAACTGTTTTTATTTTTGATCACTCTAGATTCACAGTGTTAAGAGCTAATACAAAGAGATTCCATCAACTTTTAATCCAGCTTCTCTCAAAGATATCTCCCCAAATTAGAGTAAAATATCACAAGCAGGATATTAACCGGACACAATCCAGTTACAGGACGTTTCCATCAGCACGAGGAGATTTTAAATGCCCCTCCTCCAGCCACACCAACTTTTCCCCTTCTCCACATCGTTTATAATTTATGGCAACCACTTATCTGTTCTCCATTTCTGTAATTTCATCTTTTCATAGACAGAATAATACCATGTATCACCGTTTGGATTGTTTTCTTCATTCAGCAGAAGGGGACATTCATCCACATTGTGGCCTGAGGTACTTACACTTCATTTATTTGAATTGCTTAGTAGTATTCTATGGCAGGGTCTTACTTCAGTTGGTTTAACCATTCACCTGTTTAAAGATGTCAGGACTGTTCCCAGTTTGGGCCTATAGTGAATAAAGCTGCTATAAACATTTGTGTGCAGGTTGTGGAATCAACATAAGTCTTCATGTCTCTGGAATAAATCCCAAGGAGCGTGATTTCTGGATTCTACAGTAGTTGTACGTTTACTTTTTTATGGAACTGGAAAACTGGAAAACTGTCTGTTGTCCAGAGTGGCGATACCATTTCACATTCCTACCAGCACAGTATGAGTATCCACACTCCCCACACCCGCACCAGTATTTGGTGTTGTCATCTTTGTATGTCGCCATTCTGACTGGTGTGTAGTGGTATCTCATTGTGGATTGAATTTGCATTTCCCTGGTGGTTAGTGATGCCGGACATCTTTCCATGTGCTAATTCAACATCTCAATTCTTCAATATTAGGACACTTACAGTATTCTGCTAAAAAGATTTCATTTAAAAACATGGTTCCCTTTACACTAGAAAACTGACCTTTCACAGGCGAGGGTCCAGCTGCAGAGACAGGTTTAAGGCCTGCAAGCCCAGCACCCATGCTGTGACACTATGCATTCAAATCCAGCTGACTTAAAGTGTCACACAAGCCTAGGACAGTGAGGCCACCTCATTCTTCTCACATGGAGAATCTCCTTTATTTGGTAACTTTGTAGGACTGAAATTAGACCTTTCTAACTATGTTTATTATTTCCCTTACACTATCCTATAGTAGCTATTTCCATACATATCTTTAATTTCCCACTAGGCACTAAGAAGTTCAAGGAAAGAGTCTATATCTGATTTGTCTTTTGATTCTCACACACTTTCATACATTCAACTTTGTTGAATGAATACATCAAACAGTCTTCTGCCATGGATGGGGAAAAGAAACTCTTCCATTTACTTGATTCATTCAACAAATGGTATTTGAACCTGTCCTACGGGAAAGGCACTTGGTTAGCTCTGGGCAGCAGACAACAAAAGGGACCCAGGCTCCACTCTCACAAAACCTAGATATGGATGGGAGAGACGGAAAATTACTAACTAACCTAACCTGCCTTAGCCCATACCTAAATCAGCCTAAACAAACTGTGGAAAGACAGGAATTTTATGGCTGGGTATGATGGCTCATGCCTAAAAGCCAACACTTTGGGAGGCCAAGGTGAGAGGATCACTTGGGCCAGGAGTTTGAGAGCAACCTGGGCACCATGATTCTACGAAAAAATTAACCAGGTGTGGTGGCTATGCCTATAGTCCCAGATATTCTAGAGGCAAAGGCAGGAGGATCACTTGAGTCCAGGAGGTTTTGGTTGCAGTGAACTATGATGACACCACTGCACTCTAGCCTGGGTGTTTTCCTTGGCAGAAGACAAAAATACACAAGGGACTATCTCAGACAAACTGGGGGACCTGACTCCTATCTAGTGAAGTGAATGCCAGTCACAACCTTGGAAGACCCAAAAGTTCTTGAGAATTTTTCTATCAGCAGAAACAGTCTGACAGACTAGACTGAAAAAGAAAGAAAGAGCTGACAATAAAAGAAGGTTGTCAGATCCCCAAATCCTACTGACAGCAAACAGAATGAGACAACCCCTCGTTGGTAAACGTGCCACTTTTCATGGAAAGGAAAGGATGACACAGAAAGAAGTGACAAAAGGCCAGAGGGCAGAACCAAGGCCCAAAGAGTGGAGCCAAGAACCAAGAACTATGCTGGAAGTATCCTTAGAGATACTCTTATAATTGAAATCACAATACATTATATGTCTTGTATACACAATATGTCTCATAGACGATTTAAAAATTTAGATCATTCATGTCTGTAATCTGGCAAAATGTCAATGACAGTAATAAAATAGAACAGTAACCTGGAAAAATAGTATCTATTTCTAAGTTTATAATGAAACTTAAAATGAAGTAGGGTTGCAAAAGCATTCTCAAACTTTAAGTTCTCCATAGATATCTGCTGCCAGTTCATTCTGATAAGAGTGACAGTTAAAACTAATTTTTCAAAAGAAATCATATTTCCATAATGTTTCAAATCAATGTATACCCTTCTGTATGAAGTGTGTTTGTTTCCATTAAATCACTTCATACTTTCTCTACCTAAGTCCCAATTCTACACTCTGCAAGGAAGCCTCAGATAAAATCTAATAGTTTTTACTCACCAAGCATCTAAAATCAAGTAATAAAGAAAAAGGAAACACAGGACAAGTTATAGCTTGACATACATTAAAAAATTTCGTGGAGATATGTGAAGAAATATTTACAAATTGCTTTCATGTTAGCACCAAAATTCAGATAACTGATAAATATGAAAAGTTGGGTCTTACCTTATGTAAATCAAGAATAAATTTTGGGACAAAATTTGCTATCGAACACCAAATAATATAGGAAACATCAAAGAGTTTCTAATCAAAAAGAAGTACTTAGATATTGTTTGGTTGAGCTATAACCAAGCTCCAACAGGACTCTGTGGTCATATACTAGGTGAAACCAACTAGTTTCAATAGAACATAGAAATGCTCAAAAATAGGCAGACATTTTCACAGATACAGAAAACTGTCTCCAACAGAGCCAAGAAAGTGTTAACCCTGAGAACAGGAAGGCTGCTCTCTTGAGCTCAGCACCACTAAATCTTATGAGTATGAGCCACTGTCCAGGAAGCCAGTGCTGAAGTTAAGAAGTAGTTCACATGTTTTAGAGGAAACAAGATAGAACACTTCTTGGGATCACTAGTCTGTTTTGATGACCAAAAACAGTATATTAAAAGACTACCTTGTGCTGTGAGAGCTTGATTACCCCCTAAATACTTAGAGCACTTTTGGATTGATGAGAACAAACCTTTCCCTCCAGCGCTCAGCACCTGCTAGAGAGCAGTCTTGAAGGAAAAATGTTAAAGCCCGAGGACTCGTCTGTCGTCAGGACCACTGACCATTGTGATGTCATGGTTCTAAGGCTCACGCCGTAACTGACAAACTGACATACTAGCTTCCTTGATTTTGCCACCTTCTTGTATCTTTTCGAAAGTAAACGTTTTTATTTTTGATAAATCCAGATTCACATTCAATGGTAAGAGGTAACACAAAGAGATTTATAATTTATAATTTATGGCAATCACTTATCTATTCTCCATTTCTGTAATTTCATCTTTTTATAAACAGAGAATAATACCATCTATCACCATTTGGATTGTTTTCTTCATTCAGCAGAAAGGGACGTTCATCCACATTGTGTCAGATATTTACACTTTATTTATTTGAATTGCTTAGTAGTATTCTATGGCAGGGCCCTACTTCAGTTGGTTTAACCATTCACCTGTTTAAGGATGTCAGGGATGTTCCCAATTTGGTCCTATAGCAAATTAAGCTGCTATAAACATTTGTGCGCAGGTTGTGGAATCAACATAAGTAGTCATGTCTCTGGAATAAATCCCCAAGAGCATGATTTCTGGATTCCACAGTAGTTGCACGTTTACTTTTTTAATGAACTGTGTAAACCGGAAAACTGTCTGTTTTCCAGAGTGGCATTACCATTTCACATTCCTACCAGCACAGTGTGAGTATCCACACACCCCACACCCGCACCAGTGTTTGGTGTTGTCATTTTTTATGCCATCCATTCTGATTGGTGTGTAGTGGTATCGCATTGTGGAATCAGTTTATGTTTCCCTGATGGTTAATGATGGCGCACATCTTTCCATGTGCTTATTCACCATTCTAAATTTTTCAATATTAAGACACTTACAGTATTCTGCTAAAAACATCGTGTGTCAAAACGTGGTTCCCTTTCCACTAGAAAACTGACCTTTTCACAGAAGAGGGGCCAGCTGCAGAAATAGATTAAATGCCTGCAAGCCCAGCACCCATGCTGTGACACTACAGATTAAAATCCAGCTGAATTTGCATGTCACACAAGCCTAGGCCATTGAGGCCACCAAACTCTTCTCACATGGAGAGTCTCCTTTCTTTGGCAACTTTGGAGGACTGAAATTTGACCTTTCTAACAACGTTTATCATTTCCCTTACACTATCCTATAATTGTTATTTGAATGCATATCTTTTATTGCCCACTAGACTCTAAGAACTTCCAGGAAAGAGTCTATATCTGATTTATCATTTGATTCTCATGCACTTTGATACATTCAACTTTCTTGAATGAATCAATGAAAAAGTTTTTTGTGCCATGGATCAGGAAAAGACACTCTTTCATTTACTTGATTCATTCAACAAATAGTATTTGAACCTGTCTTAGGGGAAAGGCACTTGGTTAGCTCTGGGTAGCAGACAACCAAAGAGACCCAGGCCCCACTCTCAGGAAACTTAGGTTTCAATGGGAGAGACAAATTTACTAAGTAGTCATTCCAATAATAGTAAAGCACAAGACTCTGATAAACACTACAAATAAACATTAACTAGTGACAGGAGAGATTAAAATAACTGAGACATTCCTTAGACTGTGGAGAGGGTAGGCATGGAAGGCTTCCTGGAAAAAGCTCAGGTCACCTGCAATGAACTTTAAAGAATAATTTGGAATTAACTAGGGATGGAGAGCAGAGAAAGAGAAGAGTATATGTGTTGAGAGGTGATATTTATTTGTTTTTTCTATTCAGATTTTATGGTAGTACAAACATTTTGGTTACATATAATGTGATTGCCTCACCCAAAATATTTGAAATGTCTGCTTTATATTCATGATTCATGAAATGTTCCATACTTTTCTGCTGTAACTTTGTCCCATGTGTTGACCCAAGCAGAAATGTTTTTAGCTTCGAGCACAAAGTGATTTTCTCTACATGGTTATATGGCTAAAAGTTTATCTGCCTTGCTCAGGATGAATTAGAGATCTGGCAGTGCTCAGATTTATCATGGGACAGATACTCAGGAGGCCTTGATCGTCATTAACTGAATTTGCAGGAGCAAAAAATGCACACAATCGGTCTGCAGCAGACACCTGATGAATGTAAAGACGTGGGATCCACCGCGAATGTATAAAAGGAAATGGTTCCAATATCCATATCCAGGAAAATGCATACTCGGTATAACAGGTGACTCGCCACGAAGGTAGTGAGAGGTGCAGTGCTGGGCTGCAAAGAGCTCTTCGTTTCTCACCCACAGTCAAGAAGCCAGACTCTGAAGACAGTAGAACTGACCCTTGTCGATGGACAGATTCTTTGCAAACACCCAGGTCCCATTTATTTTATTTATTTATTTATTTTTCCAGGTCTCATTCTTTGCTTGTCCCCAAGTCCGCTTCCCAGTAATGATGAGCAGAGGTGAATCGAGGGGAGCCCAGGACACATATTACATGTTTGAATCTCTCAGCACACTCCCTCCAATTCTGTCTGAGAGGTCCACAATGGAAGGACAACATGTCAGCAGAAATGAGGAGTCAATTGTTGGTCATGTCAACTGTGGAAAGACAGAAAAAGGGAAAATCATCAAATACACAGACCATAAACCACCTCTACATAAAGGCTCAATTATCTCGTTCACTTATACTTCTTTAAGCTACTCTTCTTCCCTTAATCAGGATTTTCCTGAAGAAACTTCCCAAAATCCCCAATTAAGTAAAATTTCATATACAGAATGAATGAATATATTTGTCACAAGCCCTTCTTATAGTTGGCATTCTTTATACTTAAGTTTTTTTATTTTATGAAATATTTTCCCTTTTAGGGCATAATATCCATGAAGACAGAGACCATGACTGTGGTTTACTCTCAAAATGATAAAACTGAGCACAGATTCAGTCCAAATATAGTCATCTATTAAATATCTTGAATGATCGAAAAACAATTGTGCTTATGGTAAAGTAATGTGAAATATGAAAGCATCAGAAATCCAGATTCTCAGAACAGCCCGGTCCTATAGAATCAGAATCTGCATTTAGCAAGAGCTCCGGGTAATTTAAGGCATGCTCAGGTTTAATTAAGACTTCGTGTTTTAGGTAAGTACTGCCCAAAGAAATACAATGAAATCCACATGTCATTTCAAAATTTTCTCTAGACATATTTAAAAAATAATAAGAAACATGCAGGAAGTACCTTAAATAACATATGAGCCCACATATCCCATTTCCATGTGGGGCACTACCCATGTTTCAAGGGCTCAGTAGCCCCTGGCTGCACAGGGCGAGGACGTGACCTAAACAGTATATTTCCTTCAAAACCTCCAGCTGTCTCTGATCTGTGCTCAGACGTGAGAACTGTCACTCAGAGGGGACAACAGTTGCTTTGTCCGGGGTCACTGATGGGCTGAGAGCGGGTCGCACAGATTCCCTACCTTGGAACTTCAGCATTCTTGGGTTCTGGTATAGAACTGCTCTCAGCTGGGGCTCTAGTTCCTTGATTTTGGAAACCATCTTCCCCAGCTGGTAATTGGGCCGGATGTCATTCTTCTGAGTGACCACAGAACAGGAGGGGCATGAGACGCCTTCCCCACTGGGCTCCTTCCGGAGTGCACTGATACATCAGAGGCAGCAGATAAAGCCAGAATCGAGGACCATGGGTTTTTCAAGATAAGATAGGCAGAGGACACATTTACTTGCTTCTTTAAATTGTTCAGCCATGGCCACTGTCTTCGGAAAAATGCACATGACATTGGAGTTGCATGAGATGAATGAAAATACTCCCTGGCTCTTTCATCTTTACACGCATAGCGATGTCAGTGCCTAGTAACAGGTAATGAAAGCACAACATAAATACATCTATGTAAGACTCACGGCCTTGAACTTCTGATATTTGATGTGCTAGTTGGAATGAAGGACATGGTTCTTTCTTTGGGAAGTCGGTGTGGTGAAACAGCCCTATAAACTGGACTTAGAGGGCTTATTGGAATGAGGTGTGCTTGCAGTGTAAAACACGTACACTGGATTTTGACGATGTAATGAGAAAAAGATGATGTAAATTATCCCATTAAGAACTTTCAGAGATTGATTAATTGCTGAAACAACATCACATTTTCTGTATTAAAATTTGATTTTTTCCACTTAATTTGATGTGGGAATTAGAAAATGTGTAATTCCACATGTGTGTTGCTTTCTATTTCTTCTGGGTAGCTGTGGAGACCCAGAGACTCTCCAAAACTGCCACCCCTGAGCCCAGCTGTTCCAATCTGGCTGTGGCAAAACCCCCATCCAGTAGCTGCGAGGTCGGATAAATCGAAGGGAGAAACTCCATCCGGCATCTCACAGAGTCCGCCAAGCTATGGCAAAGCAAATTGAAGAAAGTGATTTATTTCTCCAGCCTGGGCACTGAAAATCTAATCTCTGCTCCTACGAGAGGATCCCGTATCCCTAAGTGCTGGCATTGAGTCGGCCTCAAATAACACTTGCTGAATAAATAGCCACACACTCTCCAGACCTTGCTCTCTAATATCTGTCATCTGTAGTCGTATAATAAGTAAATAAATCACAGATCAGACTCACTTGTCCTCCACTAGTTCCTCCGGCCTCCACCTGTCTCCACCGACAGCTCAGTCGTGGAGTGAACAGCACTTACCAGGGCTTTTTATATAGAGGGTCCCTCCTCCCTCCCTAGTCACGCCCTGCTCGTCTTCCTTAACCCAATCAGGCTTTGATTTGATTATGCCAGAAATTGGATTATTACTGACGTTGTAAACAAATTGCCACAAATAAAGGATATCATTTTGACTTCAGGGTTTTTTTTATATTATCATTCTACATTAGGTCTGGTAGATTACAGATGTTGCTAAGATTTGAGATTAGGAATGAAACTCTTGAAATGAAATACAGGGCATCAAAATTAATCTATGAATGGAGCTAGTTTCAAATGTTTTGATCATGGAAATGAAATCTCATATTTTGATCAAGGAAATCAGTCAAATTTACTCAGTGGTTTTTCCTAAAGCCACACTCATCAGAGCAGTCATTTTATTACAGGGACTTTTTATCCAAGATACTGAAGATTCATGTTTACAAGTTTGGTTAAAAAAACCCTAAAACTGCCAACTGCCAGGTGTGATGGTGTGTGCTCATATTCCTGCTATTGGGGCACTGAAAGGAGGATCCCTTGAGCCCAGGAGTCTAAGATAAGCCTGGACAACTTACAGACACCCTGTCTCAAAACTAAACCAAACCAAACAAAAAACACTTTTTTTTTTTTTTTTTTTTTTAGTAACAGAGTCTTGCTCTGTCGCCCAGGCTGAAGTTGTGTGATTGTAGCTCACTGTAACCTCCAAATCCTGGGCTCAAGGGATTACAGGCATGAGCCACTGTGCTAGCCAAAAAAAAAAAAAAAAAAAAAAAAACTTTGAAAAATGTCTGTATCATCAATGTAAACCCATGTTGAAATGATAAAAAAATATACCAATTAAAATCACTTTTATTTGTTTGTTTTTACTTCATTTAATGTGGCTACTAGAAAAGTTCTAATTACATAGGCGGGTCACATTATATTTCTACTGGGCATCTCTGGTCTAGACTCAGAGCCCCTCCCTCTCCCAGGCTGGTCCAGCCTGGCCGTGGCACAGACCCACAGCAGCACCTGCCAGCTTGAATTAAGTCACCGCGGGAAACTCAACTCATCATCCCCTAGAGTAGCCAGAGCTGTGGTTTGATTGAGAAAAGAAGAAATATGACAAACCTCCAGCCCTGGGCATGGAGAGACTAGGCCCACCTACAGCCCCTGCAGCAGACGACCCTGTGGCCCCCAGAGCACACACTGTGCCTGGCACTGAGTTGGACTCACATGGCACTTGCTGCATTAGTACAGTAATCACTTCTCAAGACCTTGCCCTCCTATATTTAACTTTTGTGAAAATCTAAAAAGTAAAAACAAAATAACATTGGACTCACCTCTCCTCTACTCACCTCCCAGAGGTGGCTCAATTCTGAAGTGAGATTGACCTATGCGGGTTTTTTTATAGAGAGAGAGGGAGTCTCCTCCCACCTATTGACACCTGGCATCACCTCTTTAATCTGACTATATTTTGATTTAATTTTTGCAGAAACAAGATTTTTACTAATGATAGAAAGGTCACCACAAACTTGTTCAAATGTTTTAACTCAACATTGAAACAAATTTGAAAATGCATTGCATTTTCAGAAATATTTTGAGTACAGTTTACCCTTGAACTGCACAGGATCCACTGATAATGTGGATTTTCTTCTGCCTCTGCTACCCTCGAGAGAGCAAGACCAATCCCTACTCTTTCTCCCCGTCCTCAGCCTACTCAACTTGAAGATGACAAAGATGAAGACTTGTATGATGATTCACTTCTACTTAAGGAATGCCGAATCTATTTTCTCCTTGTTTTGATTTTTTAATAACATTTTTCCTTCTCCAATTTTCTTTATTGTAAAAATACAGTATATAATACATATAACATGCAAAATATGTGCTCATGGACTGCTCATGTTATCATTTAGGCATCCAGTCAACTGTAAGTTATCAGTAGTAAAGTTATCAGTACAAAGTAAAGGAGTCAAAAATTATACTTCAATTTTTGACTGCACAGGGAATCGGCACCCCTCCCTCTCCCACATAGCTCAAAGGTCAGCTGTATTTATAAATCCAAGAACATTGCCTGTGGTCAGTATTTATAAAGTTTTTCTTGGCTTTTAGACAAATCTCTTCTGTACATTTAACTTCATTTTTATTACTCTCTATAGATGTGGAAATAGTCCCTGCTTACTCTGCAAAGCAGGCAGTGGTAGGTAAAACTCCCATTTTAATTAATTAGACCATGTTATTTTCTTAAGAGGAAAAAGCTTTAGCTTTATTAATTAATATGCACTCTTCACTAATCCCTAATAATAATTCCTCACTCACTTTAGCTCCACTATTCAGAATATATAATATAGGTCCAGGTTTACGCACACACAGCTAAGGTCCCAAGGTGAAGATATCCAGTCTATCCTTGGAGATAGATTCCTCTCTTTGATTTTCCTGCCAATCAGCGTCTAGACACAAGAAATCTCTTATTGGCATCTTGTTTTACTGTGCATTATAAAGTAAAACGGTGTACCAAAAATCATGAAGCTTCTTTTAAATATATGTGAGATTCAAAATCTGGAAGGTCATAACAACAGTTCATAAAGGACATAGTTTAAATATCCCTATTGCTAAACCCTCAATAAAATTTGCGGGTTTTTAAAAATTATTCTTAAACATTTGCCCACTGATTTTGGCCATTGTTACTCAAAATAAAAAGCGTGGTCAGTTGTTGGAGTGACTATTGCAGACATATTTTGTACTGTTTGATTAATGAAGTAGCAATGAAACTGGGGGCTCTCTCTCAGCTACCTCCCCCTTCGCAGCCTCCAGCTGATGCTATGTTCATTCCTGTCCCTAGCAAGATCCCTGTCTCTAGTCTACCTTCTGAAACACCCCCCAGAAGTCACGGACCCCTGAGATTCCCACGACCCGCTGAGTTTAGTAAACATTTCTCTCTCGATAGCTAAGGATATCCTGACTACCTGCTCCTCTCAAGATTAATACACAATTTATAGTAGTTTAAATTCATATGTAAATGTTTAGCTTTCCTTCTTTCTGGGAGCCTGTAGTCCTGAATGACCTGGCTAAACTCTACAACACTCAATGCCCCAATCAAATATTCCTTCCTGCAGAAACCTTTCCTTTTGTCCCAAGACAAATCATTTCTATGTTGTCCTCATGTGACAATTTATAAACACTTTTAACAGAATCTGCATTGTGAGTACTGTTAATACAATTTCCCCAAAATAATTAGTCATGCTCAACGTGAAAAGGCAATCACCTCGTCACGTGGTTATCAGGCCAACCGAAGTAACCGTGAAAGAAGCAATCCTCTGTGCAGTGAGACCAAAACAACAAATAACCTATAAAGGAAAGGCTATCAGAGTAACGACAGACTTCTCATCTGAAACCTTATAAGCCAGGAGGGATTGCGTGCCTATGCTTAATCTTCCAAAACAGAATAAAGCCCAATCTACAATTCTTTTTTTTTTATTTCAGCATATTATGGGGGTAGAGATTTTAAGGTTTCAATAAATGCCCATTCCCCCCCTCCCCCACAAGTCTGAGTCTCCAGCATGGCCATCCCCCAGATGGTGCACATCTCACTCATTATGTATGTATATACCCGGGCCCCTCCCCCCTCCTACCTGCCCAATACCCTATTACTATAGCACCTATGTTCCACTTAGGTGCTGCTCAGTTAACACCAATTTGCTGGTGAGTATATGTGGTGCTTGTTTTTCCATTGTTGGGAGACTTTACTTAGTAGTATGGGTTGCAGCTCTAACCAGGAAAATATAAGATGTGCTATATCACCATTGTTTCTTAGAGCTGAATAATACTCCATGGTATACATATACCTCATTTTGTTAATCCATTCTTGGATTGATGGGCACTTGGGCTGTTTCCACAGCCTTGCAATTACGAATTGTGCTGTTATAAACATTCGAGTGCAGGTGTCTTTTTGTAGAGTGTCATTGGATCTTTTGAGTAGATGCCCAGCAGTGGGATTGCTGGATCAAATGGTAGATTCACTTGTATCGCTTTAAGGTATCTCCAAATTGCTTTCCACAGAGGTTGAAACTAGTTTGCAGTCCCACCAGCAGTGTAAGAGTGTTCCTCTATCTCTGCATCCACGCGCATTTATTGTTTGGAGACTTTTGGGTAAAGGCCATTCTCACTGGAGTTAAGTGATATCTCATTGTGGTTTTGATTTGCATTTCCCTGATGATTAGAGATTTTAGCATTTTTTCATGTTTGTTGGCCATCTTCTGGCTTCTTTAGAAAAGTTTCTGTTCAAGTTCTTTGGCCCACTGTATTAATACGGTATTTTTGTTTATTGTTATTTTCATGACGTTCTAGACTATATTCTAGTTATCATCACCCCTTATCGGATGGCATAGGGATACAAAAATTTTCTTCCATTCTTGTAGGTTGTTCTGTGTTACTTTCATGACTCTTTCTTTTGCTGGTGCAGAAGGCCTTTTTTTTAGTTTTTGATCATTGTCCTTGTATTTCTATTTTGGTTGCTGCTTGATTGCTGGCTTTGGGGACTTCTTCATGAATCTCTCTTGCCTAGCCAATTGTCTTCAGGAGAGTGTTTCCAACATCGGTTCCTCTAAATTCTAACAGGTTCTTACCTTAGGTTAGGCTGCTGTTATGCAGGCGTGGTTGTATTTTAGTTGAGAGGTGAAAGTGTGGGTCTCATGCTTTAGCCTTGTAAGGTGGCTATCCAGTTTCAAGCACCATTTATTGAAAAGGATTCTTTTCCCATGCGTATATTTTTGGTCTGCTTTGCAAAGATTAGATGGTATATGAGAAGGCTTTAGTTCGGATTCTCAGATTGTTCCACTTGGTCAATATTTCTATTTTGTGCAATACCAGATTCATTTAGATATTGCGTAGTTTTCTTTTTTTGTTGCATCCTTTCCTGGTTTTGGTATCAGAGTAATATTCGCTTCATAAAAGGTGTCAGGGAGGTTTCCATTCTTCTCGTTGTTGTAGAAGATGTTGTAGATGTTTCTGCAACATCTTGTAGATGTTGTAGATGTTTCTGCAAGATATGTACTAGTTCTTCTTTGTAAGTGTGGTAAAAATTCGGCTGTGAAACCATGTGGACCGGGACTTTTTTTTAGGGAGATTTTTAATTGCTGTTTCTATTTTGGCTCTTGAGATTGGTCTGTTCAGGAAATCTATTTCTTCCTGGTTGAGCCTAGGGAGGCTGTGTGTTTCTAGAAATTTGTCCATTTCCTCAACATTTTCCGTTTGTGTGTAAAGATTTTGTAGTATCATAAATTATATTCTTGTATCTCTTTGGGTCGTGTGTTATCTCTTTTTTGTCTCCTGATGGGAGCTATTTGAGATTCTCTTTTGGGCTTTTGTAGCTTAGCAATGGGCGTGTCAATTTTTGGTTTATTTTTGAGAACAACTTTTTGTTTATTAATCTTGATAGGCTTCTGTTTTCAATTTCGTTTAGTTTGATTTTGATCTGTTGTTTTTATTTTTTGCTGGGTTCGGGTAGGTCTGTTCGGCTTATTCAGCTCTTGATCGTTTTGTTGATGTCTGTTTGTGTGTTTTTGACTTCATGGTTATAGGCATTTATGGAGACTAAACTTTGCTTAGAATGCTTTGCTGGTCCCACAGGATTTGATAACTTGCTCTCATTTCTTTTTCATGTTTTATTCATTTGATTTCTTCTTTGAATAATCTTAGTAGGAGTTGTTTACTTTCCACGTTTTTGTGTACCAATGTGAGTTTCTGTTCAGGGTTGATTTCTCTATTTTTATACCACTGTTGATTGAGAAGGTATACGGTTTGATTTATTTTTTTCAATTTCTTGGTTTCTTTGTGTCTTAGGTATGATCATCTTAGAGATGTCCCTGAGCTGATGAGATCGTATATTCAGTGGTTTTGGGTAGAATGTCCTGTCGAGTCAGTCAACAATTGTTTAGGTTTTGTTTAAGTCCATATTTCTTTTAATTCTGTTTGGAGGATCTGTCTTGTGCCGTCAGTGGGGTGTTCAAACTCTCCGAGTGATTATGATTGCTTTCAATCCTTTGCTTGATCAGGAAGGTTTGTTTATGAAACTGTGGTGACCTAGTTGGGTGCAGTATATATTTAATTGTTATCTCTTCTTGTGGAAGTGTGGGCCTTCATCCATATATAATGACCCTCTTTGTCTTTCAACTTTTGTTGGGTTTAACTAAATTGTTGAATTAGAATTACCAGCCTCTTTGGCTTCACTTGCTGGAATATGATCTCCACCCTTTACTTTTAGCTCTATTGCTCCTTGGCCGGTTTAGATGTGTTTGAAGACGCATAACTTGGCTTTATTTTCTTATCATGTCAGCGCAGCCTATGTCTCTTGAGGTGGCGAGTTTAAGCCTCGCATTATTGAGAGTTGAGTATGGTAAGGTTAGAATTATGTTCATTTCTGTTGGGTTGTGTTCTTGTTTGATTTCTCTCTTGGCTATTGTATATCTGGCTTTAATCTTTGGGTTTGGTTTTTTATATTTGTGAGTTTATGTAGGTGTTCCGTGCATGCCCTGTTCTTGATTACTTTTGTGGGCTGGTTTGTCTTTGCTAATTCTCTAGTTGTATTAGAATTTCTTTTTTCTCCTTATAACAAATGTTTAGTTTCAGGGAAAGATCTACGGCTGGGATTGTTTGGGTTCGTGAATGGGAGAATGGCGGCTCCAGTCTTCCCTGCTTGTAAATCTCAGGGAGTCTGGTGTTATTCGTTGTGTTGTTTAATTGCTTCTTTCGTCTTACAGCTCTTAGAAGGGCCTTTTAGTGATCATTTTTGGTCAGCTCTGCATGGACTGTATTGTGAATCTTCCTTTTGCATTGATCTCCCAGGGTCTTGAGCTTCTTGACCTTTATCAGATTTTGAGCAAGGCCTGGGAATTCTCGTTTAATCTTCAATAGCTTTTCAACCCTTGGAGTGTTGTCTTCTTCCCTTCTGGTAACCCTTATGACCTCACATTACGGTTTTTGCACATAATCCAATCTCTGTAGTTTGTTTCTCTCGTTTCTCTGCTTACTATCTCTGTGCGGTTTTATTTTAGTTGGAGGGTATTAATGTTTCAATCTCTGAGGAGTCTCTTCTCTGTTTGATCTAACCTTTCTTGAACTTCACTGTTTTTGTGAGTTCCTGATTGATTCTCCATTTCCAGGAGTTCGGTTAAACTTTTCTTCATTGTGTCTATTTCTTTAGTGAACTTTTGTTCTAGGTCCTGGAGGCTTTTTGTGGTTTTTTTGTGTTGGTTTTTGAGTTGTTCTTGCAGGTCGGTGTTCTTATGATCCACATACAAAATTCCTCTTCTGTCATTTTGGTTGTCTGATTTTGATTGGTGTCCATTTCTAGGGGGCTGGTGCTCCTCTTTGGGGGCGTGTTTTCCGTTTGGTTCTTCATATTTCCTGAGTTCCTTCACTGATTTTTTCTCATGTCGATCAGTTGTTGTTTCTTTCCTTTAGGTTTTTGTTTGGGTATAAACATGCCTTGTTTAGTTTCTGAGCCAGTAGGTGGTGTCTGTGGGTGAGATTAGACCACTCCCTGTATAATGAGTCAGTAGGTGCTGTGAAAAAGGTGTGCAGGATGTCCTCCCTGTCAGTAGATGGCATTTGCTTAGAGGAACAGGCTACGCTGTTGTTTTTGTGTCCTGTTGTCAGCTCTTGTTCCTGTAGAGAGGCACTCTAGTGCCTCAGGTGGTCGGTGGGGCCCTGGGACTTCTAGGTGTGTCCTTTTCTCCCTCTCAGTGAGGGCTTATCTAGGAGAGTGTCTGGGCAGAGCTGGGTTTGGTAAGCCTGCCCTCAGGCACCACCAATGCCGTTAGCAGGGGTCAAAGTTTTCTTCTCTGCTTCCAGGAAAAGCCGACAGGGAAGGGCTGGAATGGCCCCGCTCAGTCAGAAAGTCTGCGTGTGGGGTTGGTGCTGTCTGAGACCTGCAATCTGGAGCAGGCCTCGCTTCTTTCCACCCTCCTCAACTCCGCAGCTACCTCTGGGCCTCTGCCAGAAGACCAGACCACATGCCACCAGGCCTCCCCTCACTGTGATGCCGGCGGGGAGTTTCCCTCTGCAGGAACACCACCTGGGCTGGGCATACAGCCTCCTTTTGGGAGAAGGGTTGCCCTCTAGGACGCTGATCTGCCCCTAAAGGCACACACACCTCAGTAGGCTCTTCACGTATATCCCTTCTGTGCCCCGGGCAATGCGAGACCTTGGTGCTCAAGATCTGGTCTGCAGGTCTGACCTCTGGGCCCCAGAGTTCAAACTATATCCCCACAAGGGAGAGGAGTGCCAGTCCCAATTCGCCCATAGGGAGCTCAAGTGGGTCTATGTCTCTCAGCCTCACGGTCTGCACCATTCTCCTAGGATCACCATGCCAGCAGCACCTGGGAGGGCTGGTGGGTAGGGAGCTCACAGTCTGAGTTCCCCTTAGTCAGCTGTAGGGTCCCAAAAGTGAAGGTCCCATTCCCTGGAGGTGCCTCTAGCTGGTGGCTATATTGTCTCTTTGGCAGCTGCGGTCTGGTCCGCGGAGGGGAGAAGGAGGCAATATGGCACCTCCCACGTGGCTTGGGTCTGGTCACATGGAGGTGCCCCGAGGGGTTTGGGAGCCTGGTGGCGCGTCCCCTACAGGCTTACCGCTTGCTGGCGTTGGCTGTCTCTGGGCTGGCATCCACAGGTCTCTTCACCCGCTAGGGAGCCCACCAGCAGTCCCAAATGCAGGGGATTGGAAAATTGACCAAGTCACCTACCCTTCCTGCTGGTCTCCAGGCTGCTCCAGCGGTCTCAGCTTCTAGTTCTCCTCTGCAACTTCCTCCTGTGGAGTCTCCCATGGTCTCAGGTACCCCTCCTTCTGGACCTCGTCTGCTATATGCTCGTCTTCTTGCTTCTTTTTTCTAATTTCTGCTAGAATCTGTCTTTTCTGCAGAGACACTCTGTCTGGTGGTGTTTCTCGTCCACCATCTTGATCCTATTCCCACAATTCTTTATCTGGCAAAATTAAGTTTCATCTTTTAGGAAGAAATAAAGTCCTTCTCAGACAAGCAATCACTGAAGGAATTTGCAAAGACCAGCCCAGCCCTACTGGAAGTTCTCAGACTCGCCTTTCATACCGCACAGGGCAATAGACACTCCTCAAAGGAAAATCTTTAAGAGTTAAACGCTAGAACTTGAACTGCATGATGGTTCAAGGAGTAAGACAAAGCAACAGGACTTCACCCAAAAATATGAATGGTAATCTTCCTCCAATTTCAATCCTCTAAATACATTTAAATGGTTTAAACTGCCCTCCAAAGAGGCATAGACTGGCAGAGTGGATGAAAATACACAGGCCTAGTATCTGCTGTCTAGAGGAAACACATATAACCCACAAAGATGCCTTCTGGCTGAAGGTCAAGGGATGGAAAACTGTCATCCAGGGAAATAGAAGTCAAAAAAAAGCAGGGGTAGCTATACTATTTGCAGATAACATAAGCTTTAAAATAGCAATAGTAAAAAAGGATAAAGACAGCCAGCTTTATAATGCTGAAAGGGAAGATCCAACAAGAAGATTTAACAATTCTTAATATTTATGCACCCAATGCACCCAATTACATAAAGCAAACCTTGTTTAATCTAAATAGCATGTTAAACAATACTGCCATACTAGCAGGGGACTTCAACACTCCACTGAGTGAACAGATAGATCCTCCAAACAGAAAATAAGCAAAGAAATAATGGGCTTAAACAGACCTTTTGATCAAAATTTCTGACAGATCTGTACAGAACATTCCACCAAAATAAAGTTACATTTACATTCTTCTCAGCAGCCCATGGATCCTTCTCCAAAATTGATCACATACTAGGCCGCAAATGAGATCTCACAAAATTCAACAAAATAGAAAGTGTACCATGTGTCTTCTCTGACCATAGTAGTATAAAATTAGAGTTCAATTCTTATAGGAACACTCAACACTTCACAAAGTCATGGAAACTAAACAATCTATTATTGAAAAATTATTGGGTCAAAGAGGAAATTCAGAGGGAAATCAAGAGTTTCTTCCAACAAAATGATAACGGACACACGTTGCCAAAACCTGTGGGATACAGCAAAAGCATACCTGAGAGGAAAACTAATAGCAATAAACGCTCACATCCAAAGAACAGAAACTTAGATAATGACAACCTAATGAATAGACACAAGAAATTGGAAAAAGTAGAGCAAACCAACTCCAATCCTAGTAGAAGAAAAGAAACAACTAAGATCAAAGCAAAACTACATGAAACGGAGAACAAGAGAATTATACGGAAGATCAACAAAACCAGAAGCTGGTATTTCAAAAGGATAAACAGAATTGATGGCCTTCTGCTACATTTGCAAGAACTCAAAGGGAAAGGACTCTAATAAACTCAATAAGAAACGAAAAAGGAGAGGTCACAACAGACACCACAGAAATACAAAACATGGTTGACTACTATAAAATACTATATGCCCAAAAACTACATATCGAGGAAGAAATGGACAAATTCCTGGATTCATACAACCTCCCTAAGTTCACCCAGGAGGAAACAGAATTTCTGAATAGACCAATCTCAAGCTCAGAAATTGGAGTAGTAATTAATAAGCTCCCCATACGGAAAAGTCCCGGACCAGAAGGCTACACTTCAGAGTTTTACCAAACACACAATGATGAACTCATGCTGATACTACAGAAATTATTCCACTATATTGAGAAAGTTGGTATACTTCCTAACTCATTCTACAAAGTCAATATCACCTTGATACGAAAGCCATGAAAGGATGCAACAAAAAAAGAAAATTACAGACCAATATCCCTCATAAATATAGATGCAAAAATACTTCACAAAATTTTAGGAAATAGAAATCAGCAGCACATCAAAAAAATAATTCACCATGACCAGGTGGGCCTTATTCCAGGGATGCAAGGCTGGTTCAACATATGCAAGTCTATAAATGCAATTTGCCTCATAAATAAAAACAAGAACAAAGACCATATGATTCTCTGAAGACACAGAGAAAAAGCATTAGACAAATTCCAATACACCTTTATGATAAAAAACTCTTAACAAAATAGGCATAGGCAGCACATACCTTAAAATTATCATATCCATTTATGACACACCCACGGACAATATCATACTGAATGGGAAAAAATTGAAACCATTCCCACTTCGAACTGAAACTAGACAAGGATGCCCACTATCTCCTCTTCTATTCAACATAGTGCTCAAAGTCCTAGCTATAACAATCAGGAAAGAGAAGGGTATTAAGGGGGGGGGGAAACAGATGAGATCAAACCCTTGCTCTTCACTGATGATATAATATTATACCTAGAAAACCCCATGGAATTGTCCAAGAAACTCCTAGATTTGATAAATGAATTCAGTAAAGATACAGGTTACAAACTCAATATACATAAATCAGAGGCATTCATACATGCCAAGAACCTAGCCCCAAAGAATATTAAATATCTAGGAATATATTAAATTAAAGATACAAAAGGCTTACACAAGAAGAACTATGAAACACTAAAAAAGGAAATTGTAGAAGATGGAAACACATGGGAAAATCTACATTCGTGGATTAGTAGAATCAATATCATTAAAATGTCAATATTACCTAAAGTGATCTACGGAATAAATGCAATCCCCATCAAAGTACCACCATCATTCTTTACAGATCTAGAAGAAATAATATTGCATGTTTTATGTAACCAGTAAAAACCTAATATAGCCAAACAATGTTAAGTAAAAAGAACAAACTGGGAGGCATCAGTCTTCCTGACTTCAAGCTGTATTATAAAGCAATAATAATTAATTCAACCTGGGACTGGCACAAGAACAGAAGCATCAATCTTTGCAATAGGACAGAGATTCCACAGATAAAACCATCTGCATATGGTAACCTAATCTTTGATAAAGCAGACAAAAATATACACTGGAGAAAAGAATCTCTCTTCAATAAATGGTGCTGGGAAAACTGGATAGCTACATGCAGAAGAATGAATCAGGATCAATACCTCTCACCTCTCACAAAAATCCACTCAAGATGGATAACAGACTTAAACCTAAGGCATGAAACCTTCAGAATCCTATAAGAAGATGCTGGGAAAACTCTTTCAGACATTGGCCTAGACAAAGAATTCTTCAAGAAGACTGCCAAAGCAATCACCACAGCAACAAAAATAAACAAATGGGATCTGATCAAATCAAAAAGCTTCTGCACAGCCAAGGAAACTATCATTAGAGCAAATAGACAGCCTACAGAATGGGAGAAATTATTTGCTCTCTACACTTCCGATAAAGGCATGACAAGAATCTATCTAGAACTCAAAAGAATTAACAAGAAAAAATCAAACAACCCCATCAAGAAATGGGCAATGGAAATGAACAGAAACTTTTCCAAAGAAGACAGAATAATGGCCTGCAAACATATTGTAAAAATGCTCAACATCGCTAGTCATTAGAGGAATGCAAATCAAAACCACAATGAGATATCACCTAACTCCAGTGAGATTACCTGTATCAAGAAATCCCAAAACAACAAATGCTGGTGAGCATGTGGAGAGACAAGAACACTCTTACAGTGCTGGTTGGACTGCAAATTAGTGCAACCTTTGTGGAAAAGAAGTTGGAAATACCTCAAAAAGCTAAAAATAGAAATACCATTCGACCCAGCAATAACATTAGTAGGCATCTACCAAAAAGAGGATAAGACATTCTATTATAAAGGCATGTGCACCCGAATGTTTATGGCAGCACAATTCACTCTTGTGAGGACGTGGAAACAACCCAAGTGCCCGTCAATTCATGAGTGAATTATTAAAATTTGGTATATGTTTACAATCCAATATTACCCAATTCTAAGAAACGACAGCGAGCTAGCACCGCTTATATTATCCTGGCTTAAGCTTAAGCCCATTATCCAAAGTGAGGTGACACAAGATCAGATAAACGGGCTTCACTTGTACTCACCATCAAATTGGTACTGCTGATTAACACTGTGGTGCTCTAAGGGTGGTGGTGTTCCCCAGGCATTTGGGGGTTGGCGGTTTAAACACACATCTGAGGGATGTGGTGAGCATTATGGAAAAGAGTGGCATACCTCTAACCCTTGCTAGGGAGAGGCAAAGATACAAAATGTAACCAAAATGTTAAAAAGAAAACCACAACATTTATGGGGTGTCAGGCAGGCGGGAGGGAGGGGAAAGGCATCTACACACACAATGAGTGCCATGCGCACCCTCTAGGGGATGGACACACTTGAAGCCCTGATTCGGGGGGGTGGCAAGGCAAGGGCAATATACGTAACCTTAACCTTTTTACCCCCATATATGCTGAAATTAAAAAATAATAATAATTAGTCACGGACTATGGCCTGGGGATATTCCAAAAAATACAATTTAATTTCTGACTTCAGCAGAAATGGCAGGATAAAGACCTCCAGAAACTTCTCTCCTCCAATAAAGAAGTGAGAAAACTGGCAAAAATGGTCACCATCAACATTTTCCGATTTCTGGAACATCACATAACTTGTAGCAATTGGGAGAAAATTGATGACAAAAATAAAAGACCTGAATTTTAGTAAGAACCATGAGTTTTGTGCAATTTTAACTTGTCCTAGTCTTACCCTTTGTCCTGTAGGCCCAAAGTAGGTCAGAAAACTCAAAGCCCACATTCCTGGTGAAAACCAGCAATGTGGTAGCCACTTGGCAGAGCAGAATGGGGCTGGAGTGCCCTCAAAGCCTCATTTTTTAAGAGACTCATCACTCATCAACCTGTCTGGTGGACCCTGTAACACCCTACTTGTCTGTATTTACCCTGATTTGGAGCTTTCCCAGAGCAAAAATCCTCTCCCCTGGCACAAATGTAAAAAACAATTATAGGCAAATGTGTCACTTTGTTACTGTTGAGGTGGTGGATAACAGCTGGGGCAAACAAGTGGCCAACAGAAAGCATGCTCTCAATCGGTTTAGTGAAAGAATCCCACAGGGCGTCAGTGGAGCAGGGTGTATGGGATGGCATCTGAGGCTCAGCCCTGTCATTTGTTCCTGCCACATGTTCCTCGTGATGCTGCTGAAAGACTCCTGGGACAGGCAGCGTGTTCTCTTCACCGAGGATCCATGTTCAACCTTTGTTTGAATCCATTACTAACGTTTGCTTTTCTTTTTTGCATTCTTGCAGCAAGGTAGTGGAAACACATCTGAGGAGTCACCTGAACTCAAGCAGGGCTTGGGAAGGTCTTGCAGTTCAGTGTGTGTTAAAATACCCCCATGCTGATTCTGTGGTTCTAATCACTTCATTTAGATGACACAATGTAGGAAGTGTTGGAATAATCACTTTATTTAGATAAGACAATGTAGAAAGTCAGCACAACGCAGTGACTGAGAGTGTGGGTGCTGGTGCCAGATGACTGAGTTCAAACCCATGTGTCTCTGGGAATGTCCCTTAGCCCCTCTGTCCTCCCTCCCCTGCTCTGGGGTGTGGAAATGTGCATGGGGGGGGTCTGCTTGTTACCATAGTGTGAAGGGGCTAAAAATAAGTAAATACAAAGCCTGAACATAATGACTTGAATCATAAGTACTACCTACATAAGTGTTCAATTTTCAGAAGAATAACCAAGGCACCTAGCGCTGGTGACCTCCAGGGAGGGAACACGGGAGGAGACAGGTCAGGGGAGGACCGAGCCTCATTCTTCCCCATGGGCAGGGGTCTGACTCTTCATAGCTCGTGGAAAACATCTTGTGATGTAGGGTGGGCAGAGTAGGAGCTGTGACTCCTGTTTTTTGGTTCAGGGCACTGAAATTGACAGAGGTTAAGTGACTTTCTCAGAGTCACCACACTGAGGACTGATGAGTCTAAGGCAGAGAATATAGTTGGTTCCCTGGGGGCAGAGATCCCTGAACACCGGGGACCACTAGGTCACTCCTGGACACAGAACCTAGAGCCCTCCTCACTCCCTTTCCCAAATCCTCCTTCCCCCAAGGATGCTGCAGGGAGACAGGTGAGGCCCTGGGGGAGGTGTTGGCCCAAGAGAGTGGTCCACGTCTTGTCTCAACTCCTGGCTTGACATTTCAATCCCTGACCCCAAATGCACTGCTTCCCCCAAATGCAGCCCTCCAGAGGGACCAGGAGCGTCCCATTTTGTGTTCATCTTCCCAGCATTTGACACTAAAGCTGCCTCTTGGTGAGACTTCCCTGTGATGAGGCAACCTCCCAAATGACTAGTGTCTCCTCCACTCCCAACTGACGCAGAACCCAGGACATTCCGAGCCAACTGCCCCCATGACAGTTGCACAAAACATAAGCTGTGCCTCCAACTGGCCAGACTGGAAGCTGAGCAGTTACGACTATTTAACTGAAAAACTGGCCTGTTGGGCTGGTGCTTAGGTGGGTCAGTGAATACAGCCCACAAGCTCCCAGTGTCCCTCTGACTCAAGTTCTGCCAACTGTCAGAGCAGCCCAGACTCAGGCCTAGCTGGGAAGGGGCAGTGGCTGCAGCAGCTCTGAGTGTCACCTTCCTGCTCATGTCCTTCCTCACCAAAACTCAGTCCTGCTATGTGAACTACCGTCCCCACTCCGCCGTCTGCTTAAGGGCTTCATGTCCACAGTCCCTTCCATGAAGCAGTTGGCAGGGGGTGGTGTTTGTGGCTCTACCCTGTAGTGGGGCCACAAGAGGATGTCAGTTGTTAATGAACCCACAAGGGGGTTCCATGTGGCCAGCTGCACAGAATGCCAGTTACTGAGACAGCGAGGATGTCAAGACAGGATTTATTTCAGTGGACGTTTCAGCTGGGAGGGGGAGGAATGAACTACCTCAAATCCGCCTCCCCTGACAACAGGGTCGAGGGGATTTTTTGGAGGTGAAAAGAATAACACAGGAGGCCAGTCAGCACCATTGGTCAGCTTTTAGAATATTATATTTTTTAGTTAATATTAGCCATTTTTTAAAGAATTTTGCAAAGTTCTGGACAACAGATCACACTGTCCTGAAAACTTAAAATATTAAAAAAAAAACTATACAAAGTGTTTTTTGCTTATAGAGCTGGTTACGCGATGCTGCTGACCCCTCGTAGGGAGGGGCAGTAGTTTTCCTTGAATGCAGACACCTTTCTGGTGTATCCTCTCTTTGGACCCTTTCTGATATTTTCTTGAGGTGTGATCCTGCAAGATACATTTGAAATGGGAGCTCCCTATTGGCATGTTGTTGGCAGAAGTCCTTGGAAAAGTGTTAATGATGTTCCCCAGGTCACACTTCTGGTCACCAGCTGCCTAGAGGAGCCAACTGAGTGGAAGTTGGGCGTGGGACAAGGGACCCTGCAGAGTGGTGTGGACACACCCGATGGCTGACTGTGGGGACGTTATTGAGGGAGACGATGCAGAAAGGCAGCAGAGCACAGGGACTGGGAGCACAGGGCAGGTGCCTGGTGGCCTGGGGCTGGATCTCACTTAGAAGCCACATGAACGTGGAAAAGTGACTTAACTCCTCTGCCCTCAGTTCCCCATCGTGTGTTTTTGAAACGCTAATGGGGCCTATAGAGCAGTAGTATGTTAACGAAGCTTATCAAGACCCCATACCAGTGAAGATGGGATAACAAGACTGGTACTTCCTAAGTGTTACAAAACTCTTCAATTATTAAAAGTCTGGAAGCATAAGCCAGACATGTAGTCATGGTGGCCTCCAGGGAGGAATCTGGGATGGCTCCAAGTCATGGAAGGTGGGAGGTCACTTTCCAGCTTTTACGTGGGCAGGGGCTTTGTAGCTCGTGGGAGTATCTGTCGTCATCTCCTGTGATCCCCACTTGTGGGGCGTGATGAGCAGGGTGTGACCCACACTCTACAGTTGAGGGCACTGAAACTTAGAGGGGTTAAGTGATTTGCCCAGAGCCCCAACACAGGAGGGACGGACTGGAGGCAGGAGTATAGTTGGTTCCCGGGGGACAGAGACCCCTGAACCCCTGAGCCCCCCCATACTCTGAACCACTGGTCCAAGAGCTGTCCTCACGCCTTTTCCCACGTCATCCTGGCAAAGGTGGCTTTGGGGGAGCTGATGGCCCGCGGGAGGTGTCTGAGCCAAGAGAAGGGCAGGTCCCTGCCCCAGCTCCTGTCTGTCTTGTAATCCCTGACCCGGATACGATGCCGTTGGCCCCAAGGAAGGCCCGCTGCAGGATCAGGGTGTGCAGTCTGTGCTGCTCCTCTGCCAGCACCGTCACCGTCAGGTGCCTGCAGGGCAGGTGTGCTGGTGTGCCAGTGACCACCTGAGCGACTAGTGGTCGCACAGACTCCCAGTGGGCTCAGAACCAGGACTGCAAACCAACCTCAGCCACAGGACAGATCCTCATAGAATTAGCTTCTCCCTAAGTGAAAAGCTCCGGATGAGCAGTGAAGGGTAATGAGCTGGGAGAGGCCTGCAGGCGGGTGCTTATGTGGGTCAGAGAATGAAGTCTCCAAGCTCACAGCGTCCCCTGCACTACTGATCTGAGCAGCTGTCCGAGCAGCCTGGAATCAGGCCTAGCTGAGAAGGGGCAGTGGCTGCGCCAGCTATAAGTGTCACCTTCCTACTCACACCCTTCCTCACCAAAACTCAGTCCCTGTCGTACAAAATACAGTCCTTACTCGGGACTCTACTTAAAGGCTTTGTTTCCATAGCACCTTCCATGGCGTAGCTGGCAGGGGATGATGTTTGTGGCTGTACCCTGCTGTGTGGCCGGAAGGGGATGTCAAGGCTGCTGATGCACTTCTGGGGAAGGGCAGGAGATTTCCTGGAATGCAGACACTTTTCTGTATTTGAATCCTTCCTGGTCCTCTCTTATTGCATCCCTGAGGCATGTTCCTGCAGAACACATTCAACACAGAGACACCTGTTGACATCTTGTTTGGCAGAAGACCATGGGAAAATGCTGATGGTCTTTCCCCAGGTCATCCTTCTGTTCTCCAATGGCCTAGGGGAGAGCCACCTGAGTCCAACGAGGGCACTGCAGCGTGTGTGCACTTAACTGACCCCAGGCGCTGACTGTGCGGGGACATAACTCTATAGACAGGAGGCCATACAGAAAGGCAGCGGAGCACCGTGACCGAGAGAAAGGGCAGGTGTCTGATGGCCTGGGGACAGACCCTGTCACTGAGTCAGCTCATATAGGGAAGACAGCACACTCCTGTCTGATTTAATCTTCCCCAAACGTGTCAAGCTCCAGGTCCTCTCTGGGCCAAGGTGAGATCTGCACATCACAGCCTTCCCAGGTGTCATTGTAGGAATGTGCAATGCAGACACAGGAGCAGGGACCGCCAGGGAGGCCAAGGGAGGGAGGAGAGGCTCACGGGGGGGCGGGGGGGAGGGGGATGGTACGCAGGACCCGGGGGCTCCTGGGGTCCAGAAGGTGACCTTGGCCCCTGACATCCCCAGAGGCAGGTCCACGGGGTCCTGAGGCCTGTTTTCTGCTCTCTGATGAGGCTGTGTTGTGTCCATACGGAGCATCTATGCTTGTCCTACAGAAGTGGATTAACGTGAGCGTTCACCTGGGCAGACTTCAGGTGACGGGTCCCTGGATGGTGAAACAGGTGCAGAAGATAGGGGAGGTCTCTAGGACCCCAGGGTGAAAAGGCACCGTGCACCTGGGCATTGTGAGGAGCAGGAGGTCGGATGACACAGGGGTGGGAGAGGTGACCCCGCCCTCCACCCGGACCCCCGACACAATCTAGCGGGAGACCTGCACAGGGAGCACGCACAGCTTCCTGGAGCTCTTTTCTTTCTCTGCTAATCATCATTCCTGTCTCTAACGCCACCACCAAACCTTGCCTATGCCTTTCAACTAAAAGAAAATGTTGTGGTACTAAAAAATACGTTTTATGGCTTAAAGAGTTTTAGTGTGAGAATGATACAGAAAACATTGCTATTTAAAATGCAATAAAAGCCATTATATTTATTGAGAAATAGGAATAGTAAAACATGCCCACACAAGTAACTTGTAATTCTTCCCCCTTAACATATTCCAAGAAAGCGCTGCATGGAATTTCCTTCTTTTCCTTCCTTTGTGTGTGTTTTTTCTCTGATTATTATACATACATGAAAAATCCATATAACCTCATCTTGAAACACGGTGCTCCACTGAGGCTGTGGGGTCCAGGGCTTAGGCAAAATCCCCGATGGTCTGGGACCCCATAGTGTCCCCTACTTGGTGCCAGGACCCACTAAGTGCCCACAGGCAGGCACTACTGGGCTGGGTGGGCTGCTTGTTTGCAGGACAAGGACCCTGAGGTTCCTGTGTCCTCATACTTTCCTCAGGAGGCCTAAAACAGGGGAGGTCAGGTTGGGCCAGCCCTGATGTCCCCTCATGATTAACTGGGGATGTTCCTGCTGCCTTTAGGGGGAGGGGTGGGCAGGGCTGGGTCCTGAGAGGGAGATGCTGATCAACTCTAGTGCATGTCCACAAGGAGCACAGTGGTCCCCGGGGAAGTCACGCACATGGTGGTCCTGCCAGCACCCACAGCCTCTCCCCCAATTAAAGCAGCTCTCGGGAGGCTCAGCTGAGCAGGCTTAGGGCCTTCCATGCAAGAAGCCTCCACTCCCTGGTAGGATGTTCTCAGGGCAGCCTTCCCGTGCCTGCGTGGATTTTAGCACCATTTTAGAAGCACATGCGCAGTCACAGCCAAGACCAGCCACTGCAGTGCTCTCCCCAGTCACGCTGGTTTCCTGCTGGGTCAAGAAGAAAGTCCTGGGATCAGTGGGGAACGACTGCACTTGTTTTCCTTCCCCTCTTCACACTGTCTGCTCCACATGTTTCCTTTTCCTGATCTGCTCCGTCTTTTATAGCCTCCATTTCTTCCCCGGTAGCAGGACTAAAGAATCTCTTGACCCCTGGAGGAGGGAGAAGGACTGTGCACGCCCAGAGCCTCCAGTGCAGCAAGAGCTCAGTCAGGGGAGGGCCCAGAGCAGACCCACACTCACCGGGGGGCCCCTCCAGCAGGATGAGCCCAGCTCCCCTGACCGCAGCCCAGCACCCTGCCTGGAACATTCCTTGCTGCTCAGCTTGGGTCCTAGCTGCAGCCTGCGGGGCAGAAACCAGGGCGATGGGAGAAAGAGGGGAGGAGGCTGGAGAGAGACTGACAGACAGTGAAGGCCCAAAGACCCACTGCCTGGACGTGACCAGGCCCCTCAGGATGACAATCATGGGCGGAGGGGAAGAGGGACTGGGGAAGGGGTACCCAGAGGAGGCTGTGACCAAGGATCAGGACGTACACAGAATACACGAAAGACGTGAAACATTCCAGGCAGATTGTTGTTTCTCTGTCCCAGTCCTCAAAATCTGCAGAGTAAAGTTCCGCACCTGCAACTGCAGGACGTGATGCGGTGGCCTCGGGCGAGGAGAGGGGGTGTGGGAGCGGGGTGAGAACTTGGGGCCCTGAGCTCATGGCAGCAGAAAGCCTGAGGGTGGAGCACATTCCATCCCCATCCCCACGGTCCTCTCCCAGGGCCTCAGCCTTGCAGTGCTGTGACTTCGTGGAGGCAGGAATGGCTGTGTCATCCTGTCCCCGAAGGCAGCCACTGTCTCCATGTCTCCCTGTGCACGACATGGACTCCCTGCCTCTTCCCCCTCCCTCTCGCTACTCTTGTCCTTTTCGTCTCTCCTAATGACTACTCATTTCCTTTCTCCTTGTCAACCTCCACCAACCCTGTTGTCCAATATGGGAACATTGGAGGGATGATTCTGGGCAGGAGGCCACCCTCTCCACTCAAGTCGATTGGTGAATTATCCACGCCATGCAACCAGGGAGCACCTGTCTTGGTACCAGGCTCATGCTGAGCTCTGAGAAGGACAACCATCTGCACATGTGTAGTGACTGTCATGTCCCTGGGATGTTCTTAGGTACCTGGGAAATATATAATCCTCACAACCACCCCATTACGTTTCCTGGCTCAGTAGAGAGAGTGGCAATGAAAGGAGAGGTCAAGCAACTTGTCCAAATGCACCGCAAGTGAGGCGACAGGGGCTCTACAGCAGGTAGCTTTGGGGCACATAAATAAAGGGGCCTTCCAGGGTTTGCACAGAGCCAGGGGAGGGCTGGGAGGGCGGGGACTGGGCAGGCCAGAGGACAGGGAACAGGCGGAGACCAGGGCAGTGCTGTCTGGCTGGAGCACTGGGTCTTTGAGAAGCAGTGACAGCTGTTGCTGACCAAGGGACCTGTCCTGGGTTCTTTGCTGGAGATGAGGCCAGTGGGACTGTGAGAGCCGCTGGTGCAGCAAGCCCGGCAGCCCCTTCACACATGTCCCCTGGGATCCTGCCGGCCTTGGAAGGTCACCAGGGGCAGCTGGACACGGGGCTCTCAGAAGGAGCAAGCAAAGGTTTTATTCCTACTCCCAAGATTTTAGATTTGGGTGAGGGGTGGTTCTCTTCCATAGAGATAAAGGAACTTCAGACAATAAGGTCCCTAGAAAGACAATGACATAGGGCAGGTTGTGGGCCCTATATTTGCATTTACCTGTACAACGAAAACTAAATGAGGGTTCCATGAGAAGGTGTGACTGGGGTGACGGTTACTAGGGTGACCCTCTCATAAAAACTTATAAAGTCCTACATGTGTTGTGGTGCATTTTATTTTGTAAATAAAAAGGATTTTAACATCAAGTGTAACAGATATTGTCTAATGTAACAAAGTCCAGCATTAAATGTCAGATATCTCTAAAAATAATTCTAAATACCTACATTCACACATGAAATGCTGGAGCCACATGGGCTGACGTGGGGAGGACAACAGTGAGCCGGCCCCTGTTCTGTGGCCTCGTGTCTGATTCGAGCTTCCCAGCCCTGTGCCAGGCTGACACCTGCACGTCTCGGCCTCCCCGGTGTCGGCACAGGAATGTGCAGCACAGAGGCAGGTGCAGGGCCCTGGGGAGGCACAGAGACGGGGGCAGGGGTCTCCTGGGTGGGTGTGCAGGACCCAGCAAGAGGGAGACTTTATATTATTCAAGAGGCAATTATATCAACTGCCTGCTGAGACCGGATCCTTCAGGGGGAGTCAGGGAAAGAGGGAAAGAGGGCATGGGCAAGAGCCACAATGAGGAGTTCCTGGGTAGGAAATAGAATAAAAAGAGATGCAACTGAGAAATACATTGCATGCCGATTAATGTCCTCCTACTCATCTGAAAAGCCTGCCTCCGCATGGACCAGAGCAGTGACGATGACCAGGTGGCCTTGGGAAAAGGAAGGACAGGGTTAGATTTGAGGGGAAAACTTGGGCCCTGCTGTTCCTGATACTTTAAGGTCCATCTACAGAACCTGGTTCTTCCTCATCTCTGTAGTCCTGTCTCAGAACCTCATTCCTCCATCTCTGCAATGGGGCATGGGTCTAGGATTTCCAGGTCAAATCTGATAACTATAACCAGGAAGGGATACCTGTGTCAGCCTGTCCCTCCCAGAGGCAGCCACTGTCCCCAAGGCCTCCTGTGTGTGGTGCTGCCTTCCCTCTCCTGTGTCCCTCCCTCATGATACCTCTCTCACACGGGAACGTTGGTGGAAAGATCCAGGCTATCCTGCACCCACCCTAACCAATGGATTGATGAATTACCAATCAAAGCAAACCCAGGGAGCACCTGTCGTGGGCGTAGGATGGCGTTGGTCCTGTGGGAGAGAAGCACAACCAATTTGGCATGTGAAGGAAATTCCCCTGACCTGAGGAGACCTCAGGAACTTGGGAAGTATTTGATCCTCACAACAAACCCACAACTTCTCTCAGCAATAAAAGAGGGTTAACACAGGGTCAGACAAAGTAAGGTGTCTAAATCCCCTTAGTCTGTGAGTCAGGCAAGCAGTTGTTGCCACACAAATAAAGGGGACCCGCCAGGGTTTGCACCGAGCCAGGGGAGGGCTGTGAGGGACCCGGCAGGCCTGAGGACCAGGACCAGGCTGGAGCCTCCCCAGAGGGTGGGGACCAGGGCAGCGCCGCCTGGCCAGAGCATGGGTCTGAGAGGAGCAGGGGCCTCTGTCCCTGCTGCCCAGGGGACCTGTCCTGCACCTGGTGGATTCCAGGAGATGAGGCCGGTGGGACTGTGAGAGCCACTGGTGCAGCAAGCCCGGCAGCCCCTTCACACACGTCCCCTGGGATCCTGCCGGCCTTGGAGCGTCCCCAGGGGCAGCTGGACACGGGGCTCTCAGGTGGAATCCAATTAGGGTTCTGCCATTTAGTACTCAAGCTCTGTCGTGGTTTTGTTTTGTGGGACATTCAAATTCCATGAAAATACAATGTCTTTCTACAGAACGCACGCTCTAAAAGGAAACTCAAGCCATCACTTGGCTCATTTTATCTTCATATTGACTAAAAACAGCTACCTTGACTGTTTTTTTTCTCACAAAGGTCTTCAGAAGCAAACGAGAACCTAGTCCAGCTGGCAGGTTCCCCAGGGACATTGTGGAGATCCTCCTGCCCCACAGCCGGGCTTGCCTTTCCCACTTTGCCACGCACGACCTGCCTTCTGCCTCCTAGGAAGGAAGCCACGTGCTCTCTCTGCTGCTCAGAGCCTCAAGCGAACCTCTTGTTTCTCTCCCCATTTTGTCGGGTTTCCTGGGAGGAGCACACAGACCGCACGACTCGGCTCATGCTGGGAGACGGAGTTTGCACATGAACGTGGCGTTGCCTATTCTGGGCCCCAAGATCTGAAGATTCATATTAGATCTCAGTGGAGAAAGTTGGAGTGATTTCCCCCCAGCTCTGCCTGCAGGCTCCATCTTTGCAGTTTCCCAAAAACCTGGGTGTAGAATGTGGCTGTACCAGGGCCTAACTGCAAAGGAAGGAGACTGCCCCAATCGCCATGCTGAAGATGGTTCTGGAAGATGAATCCTGACGCCTCTCCTAGGAAAGTCTTGCGAAGAAGGGAAGTGTCGAGACTGGCATTTCGTGACTGCTCAAACGCCATGAGGAAAATAAAAGTGAGACGTATCAATAAACGAAGTTGTCGCTGACACATTACCAGGGATTCTGAAACACAGTATTGTCTTTTTAGAACCCTGTGAACATTTTCCTAGGGGCAGATTAGATTTTGTTCCCACAGGTTAACTGCAGTATATGTGGTATGCAGGGAAGTGCAAACATGTAAAACTCCCAATTTGTGGAATTTTTACAAATGCCTGTCATTATACTACAGTCACAATTAGAACTTTTAACTGAGAATGTGGACACTGGTAACTGGGGAAACATATATCTAGGAAAACATGCCAACACTCTCACACACACACCACACACACACACATGCACATACAGAATTGCACCACGTGGATTCACACATAGACATACTCCGCCCACCCTGTACACACAACCCCAGATCACCTAAAGGGAACACAGTTGATTACTGGCCTACTGAATACAGCCATAGTTCTTTATCTGGAAAATCAGTTTCTACCATGCAATCCCCAATCCTTCCTCATAGCAAGAAGCTGTAATCAGTGTGCCTGTCCACAAGAAAGCCAGAAGATAGTGCCAGCTTTCTTATCATCTAGATTATCGATCAACAAGGGAGTGATTCCAGAATACGTTCAACTTTCCCTGACTCCTGAGACTATCTGTACTTACAAAAAAAAAAAAAAATTAGCATGAGCATCAGACCCAGGCTCTGGCCTGCTTACACAGGGCCTTTGTTCACTTGGGGAACAGTAGCCGAGGGACGGGAACCCAAATGCAAGAACAGAGCAAACCTATTCAGGCCAAAAGATGACAGCTCTTCTGGAGGCTGAATCTCCCAGGTCCATTTTGGTTGGCAAGTACAAAAACCTTTTCCAAAACCAGAAAAAATAGAAATCAGCTGAGGAAAAGAACCTCACTACCATACAGTCTATAACTGATGCTACCATTTTTTTAAATGATGTTTGGAATCAGGGCTCATTTAGTAGCACACTCCCAGTGGAAATTTTCCCCACCAAGGAAAACACAGAAGACATCTAGGATGCCCACATATAATTCACTTGGAATTCTCACATATAATTTCACTTGGAAAAGAAAGAAAGCAAGAAAGCAATGTGTTCATTTCAGACAAAGACAAGTGGTCTGACCTTGGTCGTTGATGGAATCACGTCTGTTCTGGTGCCAGTCAGTGCGTCCTGCGGGTCCTCAGATGGAACTAGGAGACAGAATGACAGTCAGTCCC